ATTCCTCTCTCTTTCTTCAATTGTTCCAAGTAATTTCCATGCTTAAAAGATGGAAAGCTGACAAAATTATCAATCGTGATGAGTGACATTTAAATTCCTTCCAGCAAAATTTTGAGGGTCAAAATCTCAGAAAGATTTGAAGAGAAATTATTTCCTCAACATGCTTTACACACCACTAAACACCAGTTTTATCAACTGCATGAAGCTATGAGGATATATAAACATTATTATATGTTTTTGGAAAATTATGAGAAGGGGAAAAAAAAAAAAAAACCCTTAGGGATATTGTCCATAGACACAGATGTTGGCTTAGTTGTAGTAGGGTTGCTTGGGGTTATATAGCTAAACACTATAATGCTGCCTTAATATTTTAAGACACAGAATGTATACCTTAGGAATAGATATAAAACATTTTCCATGCTTATAGAGCAAATTAAAATACTTATTTCTGTAGAAAGTGTTAGAATAAAGATATTGAACTCAAGTACAAACCTAAATCAAGTTATTATGAGGATTAAATGCATTATTTTCCAGTGTTGTGGACTTTTTGCTAGCCTGGCACTAAGTTCTCAAAATGTATTTGACAGAAAAGTACCAACAGGAGTGTAACTCCTAACTTTTGCCCAAGATTATATATATATTATATATAAAATTATGAAAATGAATGTGTTAAAATTACGGAATTAGACATGCTTAAAGAGACAACCTACTTGTATAAACAGTCATACACTACATCTGTACAAGTGATACTAAAATTCTGGTTTATAATCACAACATAAAACCAGAATTCTCTTGCCTGTATTTAATTGCTGCAGGATACAAATGGAAAATCATCCTATTTTAAACCTCTTACTACAGAGCAGCAGACTGAGAATGTAGTTTTGTGAACTGAATGTTCCGATTCTGTGAACTTTAAGTAAGATTCATGAAACTGAATCCACACTTCTGTATAGTCTCAGCACTTGAATGTCATAAACCATTAAAAATATTGAATCATCCATAGTAGGTTAGACATTGCAGCCTCTTAACTAGCATTCCTAAAATAAACAAGTTTTGTTTTAATGCATATAAAAATCTTTCATGCATCCTGACAGGGAAATAAAATCCTTCCAAAATCATCCCTTAACTGAGCTACTTAATGTGGGATACATAAAGACACATTTTGAAAATGCATCCTTTATCTTTCCCCATCATCCCTCCAAGTGGTTAAAATGTTGTACTGAGGCAAAGGATGCTTGCTTGGGGCAAATGATTTCCCCCAATAAGATGTACAGTGTCACCAACTTGGAAGACTTTACAGTTCTTCTCTTGGCAAAAACATGCTACTCAATCCTAAAGAGGCTCTATATCATTTAAAATCAGATGCAGGTAATGGATATAATCTCTTATTTCAATTCCTTGCACTTCCTTGCAAAAAGTTTTAAATCGTTCAGTTTTTGACACCTCTTCATAGTGATTGCAAGTGACTACAGCACGTTCAACTGCTTTGCAGGGAGATCAGACAGGCATGGGACTGCAATTACATATCACAATACCCTTTTCTCGGTTCACAGCTCTATTCATCTTTTAGAAACACTGAAGGACAGATTGGACATAGGGGAACGGATTAGCCACAGGACGACCTGTATTTCCACACAAAAGCCTAAGTGTGGAAAAATGGCACCCTGTGTCACCCATTCTTCGCTGCCTGAAAAAAACATATTCATGAAAATAGACATTTAAACAGCTCTTTCCCACTCATCTCAAAAAAGACATTCACTGTTCCTCACATCATTTGAACTTCGGTACCGTAATACTATATAAACTGTCTTAGTTCCAAGTTGCATATAAAATAATTTGAGAACAGCTCAACTTGGAAAAAACGTAAGTTCAGCACAGGAACTAAAAAGAGTAATTGATGGTATAAAAACTCTACAGCTGACAGCTGCAAGCATTCGGTTCTGATAATAAGTTTTAGATGGATATAACAAAACTTCTGCACTATCCCACCATGCAAAACAACTGAAATTATATTTAAAAAAAACTTATGTTATTAATTAGCAAGAGTTTAACATAACAGGTAACATCACTAACTCCAAGTGAGTAAAAGACATATGCAGAAAAAGACGTGCTAATTACATGATTTTGAGATGTTGTAAAAAGTGAACATTGTCAGTTTTCTATTAACACCTACCTTCTTTGAAAAAAATATCAGCAAATATTACAAAACATGCAAAAATTGAAAGAGTGTCTATTAGTAAATTAACATGTATCTTTAATTAATTTTATATGCCATTCTTCTTAAATCAATTGTCTTACATACAAAAGAGATGCTCAGTGTATGAATTTGTACTCTCAAATTGTCTCAGGAGATAGTAGTATCAGCTAAAGTGATCAGGCGAGGCGACCTGCTCTTTTACTTGTTTGTTGCTTGAGTCTACAGAAAATTACCTTTTGACATTTAAAAAAAAAATCTAATCATTTAACTTAGGAATTTGACCATACATCTGAGTTACAAACAATGAGCCTATGTAGTCCATTTGGCTCCAATAGGAAATTAATCTTTTTGCCAGGAAACCAACAGTCTTAAATGTTACATGCAATGAGAAATACTACTGTTAACTTTTCATAAAATTTTAATGTAAAAGTAAAACTAAAAAAAAAAAAACTTCTGAAAGTAAGGCTGCAGCCATCTCATATACACTTTTTTCCTTTACATATATTTATTCAGTAAACTGGCAAGGGAGACATAAAATTTAATTATTTGCTAATCCTTTCGTCATACTCATTTCCTTTGTTTCTTACAAGGGCTTTTAAAGAAAGTTTCTATCTTGACTTTGCAATTTTTTTACAATATATAGGCACTTAAATCTCCTATGTATTTTCCTGTCTTTCACATGCTTATATTTTAATATATTACACCTTAAAAAATCAAATTTTATTGGGTATTAAAAAGTTCCATAAAGGAAAAACTCAGTTAAACCATATGGAGCTGCAATCAATTCCACTAAGCTGTTCAGTGTTATCCCTGAAACTGCATCAAGGAAGACAAACACTGCTGAAATAATTATACAAAAGGGTGCAAAATGCTATTGTGAAGATTAACACCCATCAAGGAAAGGCTGACAACCGAGCCAATACAGCAATCTGTATTTACAGTAAGTATATAGTTCCCAGGGTTAAACAAAGCAGAAACATTTTGTTCACAGAAATAAACAAACTGAATGCAATTAAGTTATCCAGCAGCTCAGGAGCACATCAGTTTACTCAATGCAGTCCACAGTAAGAGCAACTATAAATGCTGCAGGAAAAGCACTGAGAAATTTGTGAAAGCACTTGGTTTGTGATCACAGTTTATGATTTTATAAATAAATTTCCTAGCTTTCCACTCCTACAGTGTGAGAAGAAATATTTTTAGTGAAACAAAACGTTTCTTCCTGCTTAGATTATTTACAGTAATGAAGGTCTCAAAAATCAAACCATGGAAGAGAGAAAAAAGTATGAAACCTAACGGCAAATACTGACAAAAGCAGCCTGAAAGGATTGGCAATATTTCTTTCTTCAAAATCCCCTTAAAAACAGTCATCTCATTAGGCAGACATATGTAAGTATGTTAGTAGGAGCATTTTAAAGTATGTTAAAGAAGTGAGTATGTGGGAGGCATTACACACAGAGAGCAATTAAAGCATGGGTTATTTCTTAAAGGAGAAATCTCTGGCACACTGTTCAGCACGGATATCTGGACAACTCTTCTTAATTAACCCAATGAAGCAAATCAGCTTTTGCTCATTTTGCAAAAGGATCTTTGCAAATGTGCAGCTCGTGGGATTTTGCACTGCCACAAAATCCAGCACCAGAAGCAATCCTCCAGTAGCTGCAAGGTTGACACTTTGCCTGGTCTTGAGTGAAACTTTGTCCCAATCACACTGAAGTTCCCCCACCACCACTACCATGTTTTGCACAGCCAGCATTCAGAACTGTGCTGTGTTCAATGCTCACACAGTTATCGGCTGAACTACACTGCAATGCTGAAAAAAAAAGAAAAAAAAAAAGAAGTAACGGGTTCACTGGAAAAAAAACTCATATATAATAGTGTAGGTTTTGTTAACACTGCTTCAAGAGCAGCATTGCTCTTGCCCCACAAAACATGAACATCTCCTGGGATTCACACTTGTATCTCGGTTTGCTTTACAAAACGGCAGAAGAATTGCTATATCAGCAGAAGAGAGAGAGAGAAAAAAAAAGAGTGAATTTCCTGAGGAAGAAAAGTAAAAAGATAAACAAAATAGGAGGGTAACTCCTCAAGAAAATTCAACTAGCCACAGAATGCATCCTTTTTTTTTTTTTTTTTTCTCCCACACAACTGTAGCAGGAAAAAGAAGGGGGAACAAACCACCATAACCCGACTTATTTTTCTCCAATAAATCAGAATCCAAATTTTCTGACTGCAGTTGGAAAAAGCAGGAGCCCTGAAACCAGGCAAAGGCCTCTTCCAGTTTCGGGGCAGCAAGGAAAGCTGCTGAATGCCCAGGATTTGCTCTGCCCTGCCCTTTCCATAGAACTTTAGTGCCATCTATTGAAAACGCGCTGAGCGAAGAAGAAGGAGACGATGCCTATTGATTTGGTATAAAAATAAGACGTTTACTTGTTAGGATTTTTTGGTTTATTAATACTCCCATGATGACTACTGCTCGTTGGTCATCTGATAGCAACAAATATTTTCTACACACTATGCATGCCCCATTAGGAAAAGGGAATACCGATCCTAAAACACAGGATACAAACATTATACAAATATACAGATACATATATATACGCACACATTAGGAAGAATACAAGTCTAAAGCTACCTATTTGCTAAAAGGAAGAAAAATGAGAGGGCTTTAAAAGGCAAGGGAAAAAAAAACAGCGTGGAACCACTGCTGTAAATAGAACATACTGGAAACAGTAAAAATAATTAGACACCTCGTAGAGAGCTCGGCGTTAAAGAATAGGGTACGCAGACATGCAGATATAATTACCTTCTTTAAGAAACTGTGAGTGGATGACAAATATAAGAAAACAGCAGATCGCTGCTCCTGCTAGTGCCCATAGCGCTTTCAAGAGCTGCATCTCGGTCTGAAACTCAGTAAATGCCCACAAAGTCACACAATGAATTTCCAGGGCGATGCATCAACGCGTCCCTCGGTGCGCGCGGCGCGCGGCGCGCGGGGCCGGGCGGGCAGCGCGGGCTGCGGAGGAGGGGCCGCGGCTTCACACCCCGCGCACAGGCGGCGGCG